TTTCCAAAAGAATAATCTTGATGTATCATACACCGTTTTGATGATTAGTTGTTGAATTATAAGCGATTCAAAATGTACAAAACCCCGCAACTTGAAAGATAGTAAATTCATACTCGAGAGTTAATGATCTTCAAAATAAGATATCGCAAGACCCACATTTCATTTAAAAGATCGCACCTGCCGTCTTTAGATTTTTAACTGTCATTTTTTAAACTTGACCCGTTGAAAAAAGAAGTGGGTGGGACCCTTTTGAAAAGAACTGTATGTGTGTTGCAGCCATTTATATATCATTTGTCAAACCCCTACCGAGAGTCAAACTTGTGAAGACGACTACCGCATTTGATCCCTTTCAACTTAACGGTATTAAGACATTTTTGGGAGCTAACACCTTCACTTTGTCCGGTCATGCTGAGAATCCACAAGGGGTACGAAAGCATCTCTGCATTTATGGTAAGTTTATGGAAATATTTAAAGGGATCACGTAGCTAAATGAAGAAATTATACCATAAAAAAACAGCTTTTATAGAAGGAACTGAAAGTATTATATTTGTACTTCCCACGCCTACTGGCTGAGATGTTTTTGGATGTCATATAATATACATACAACACGAAAAGTCATCTCACTCATTTCCGTCTGTCCGCTAATCCTTGGCCCGTCAATAACTTGGAAAATTCCTCTCGGATTTTGATAAATTTTTCACACTAGATAACTACTATGCCAAGGACGAGAACTTGGTAAAATGGTAAAACAAAAGTAGCTCAAACTTCGTCTTTTGCATTTTAGACGCTCTTTATCATTGCCAGATAGTTTTTCAAAATCGGTCCATGGGCGGCGGCTTAAAAGCCAGAAAACAAAAAAAATGCTCCAACTTTGTTTTTTGACGTTTTAGATGCTCCTGAACATTTCTGACAAAGTTAGAGACCGAGAGTTGGGGGTGGGGGAGGCCATATCTCAATTTTTGGCAGCAGTATATTTATACGCTTCCAACCCCGGCAGTTTTACGCACCTATGAGACAGCGATATGTTTCTATGGTGTTGAAAATTCGTTTAATTACACAATAGCGATCAAAAGTTATTCAAGAAATTATTTCCCTTTAGGGACTTATACTTCCAAAGCAGTACCCCATATCACACTTCTGAGTATGTATACTAAGTGACATATAAATCCGAACACCCAGTTTAAATGGTTTTATTTTAATAAATTTTGTATAAGTACTTAATGAAGCATAATAAGTAAATGATAAAAATTTCAAAATGATTGCACTGCTTTAAAGCCCTTTGACCTTTAATAATGTGTGGATGCACCCTGATGTGCTACGCATTCTCCAACGCGCCTAGGCATGCTTCTGATCAGGTGGTCAATGTCCTCCTGTGGTATCTCATTCCAGGCAACCACCAACTCCTCTCGAAGTGCTTCTAGAGTCTGAGGAGGACGTTGCAAATTGAGCAATCTCCTACCCATCATATCCCACACGTGCTCAATTGGGGATAAGTCCGGAGATCTTGGTGGCCATGGTAACAATGTGACATCATTATGTTGAAAGAAGTCTATTGTGACTCTTGCAACATGTGGTCGGGCATTATCTTGTTGGAAAGTTGGATCTGCCAGGTGTCAAGATAGGTTAAAAGATGGGGTTCTAGAACTTCGTGGATACAACGCTGCGCGTTCATGTTACCTCTGATGAAGATTAAAGGTGACCTGGAACCATAAGCTATAGCAGCCCAAACCATAACTACAACAGTGTGATGAACATGTCTTTCAATAAAAAACTGTGGATTCCTCCTTTCACCACGTCGCCTTCTAACCCTGGCACGACCAACGTGCATGCCTAAACAAAATCGAGACTCGTCACTAAAGACAATACTGTTCCATTCCTGATCCCAGAGTGACCGTTGTCTGCACCACTCAAGGCGATTACGTCGGTGTTCTCGAGTTAAAGGGAGGATCCAGTGTGGCCGGTATGAAAACAAGCCAAAACTTCTCATTCGTCGGTAATCACTTCGCATGCCAATAGGTCTTCCGTGTTCTGCAAACCATTCATTTGCAGTGGACCTGGTAGTGGAGAAACGGTCCCTTAAGACCAATAATCTTAGGCGGCGATCTTCACGGTCTGTTGTTCTACGGCGGCGTCCAGTGCCCCTTGCTCTTTGCGTACGGCCTTCTAGAAGCCATGCCTGACAACACCTAACCACAGTGTCTACACTTCTTTGCACTCTAACTGCAATTGCCCGAAAAGAAAGTCCAGCTTCCCGAAGTCCCACTATACGGCCCCTATCAAACTCACTAAGTTGACGAAATCGTACAGGTCTCCGTACTCTAGGCATCGTAACCGATCGTATAGGATATCAAGAACCAAAATCCGCCAAAGTTGATTCTTTACTGCGGCTGAAATATTCATTTTTAGAGCGTTAGTGAATTGAAAAAAAGCAGTATAAAAACCGGAATGTCCAACTGATAAGGCCGAAAATTTTTTCACTTGTTATTTACAGTAAGATAAATACATTCACCAACTTTTATTAAAATAAAACCATTTAAACTGGGTGTTCGGATTTATATGTCACTTAGTATATGTATCTACCTCACTTTTCGAGGTTCATGTCATTAAAAATTTAATTTGCCTTTAAATTGGTATTTGCATCTGATCATTAGATTAAGGAAAAACAAAAATTTATAAGTAGTAATGCTAGTGGTAGATTTGGATTGGACATATTTCAGGGGTCTGATTCTAACTGAATTTCGACTGGTGAAATTAATTTCGATGTCACCTTAACGTGATAGATTTGATCTGTTACGACAACTTTCGACACTGTCATGATAATTCCAATACAGGAATTTGCTAGAATCTGGCGTCAAAAGTATCGTACTGTATCATACACAGACATTCGGGAAGATTACATTGAAGCATTTTAGCGTAAAAGTGATTGCTGACAATTTCAAAATGGCGCCTGATTTCTTAAATGGTGTAGGGGTCATATGATATCTCATTCTGAAGCCCCTTGTGCGTGATTTATAGCCCTGGAGTATAAATTTGCTATTTTTTAAAATGACGGACTGGTGGACAAAGTTAAGCGGTTTTTTACGTTGAATCGTTTATAACTGAACAACTAATCACAAAAGTTTTATATCTTATATCAATCTTCTTTTATGAGAGTCTATTGAATTTGCCATAAAATATAAGATATTTCTTCAAAAATAGACAGATTTTAACATGATTTTTTAAATGATACGTCCTCATGTTCGCATAGACCCTTCCAAGTAAAGAAGATTGCGTTTTGCTGATTAGTTGTTGAATTTGACAGCCCGCCAGTCTGCCATTTTGAAAGATACCATTTTTATATTTCAGGGTTATAAAGTACTCTTGAGGAGCTTCAAGATGAGGTGTCACCTGAGTCCCCATTTTATTTACAAAAATGTCCAAGTGGATTTCTAAAATCATTTTTGTGTTCATTTGATCGTTTTTTGGGCGCTGGAACACAGTATGTTTAGTATATATACTTAATTGCTTCAGAATTTACCAGATGAAAATGAAAAAAAAAGCCAGTATGTACAAAAAACTTCAACAACAAAGGATAATTGGACAAATTTTCATTTACAAAGTAATAATTACCGTTTTTGTCCGTTGTCGATTAATTAGTGCTGTTGTTTAAGTTTCAACTCCATTAATTATTTTTTTTAGCACAGTAGCCTTAATAAGGTGCACTATAGATCACGATGGAATGTGCAATAAAATTTGTTAATTAGCTGGTATTTGAAATTAATTATACTGTTTTAATTATGTCTATCCTAAAAAAATAGATACGAGATTGAATCCAGTGAAATTTATTTTGTAGGGATTTTTTATGCTAATACACTATCCAAATATAATAATTTATATTTTTTATAAACATTCCAAGTTTCAATGCTGTAATACTATTCCGAAAGCATTGCAGGACCATATTTTCACACAAATACCCCCTGATATTCAAACCCTACAACGATTCTCTCAAAGTGGCAGGCACAAAACTTTAAAACTTAGACCACCGGTCAATTTTAAAAAAAAAATCTTATAGTGATAATTAATATTGGGCTGATCAAATGTTCCAATGGGCGCAAAGCCTAGAAAAGCTTTACATATATAAGGTACATGGTGTCGAATACTAGTGGCTTTAGCCCCTATGGGCAGAACCAATGAATTCGAATATGCTAGAAGGAGCCAAACCTAGATGTCTCAAAAAATGTATGCCAAATTAAAACTTTTATATTCCTACAGGTACTTTTTAAACATTAAGACTAGGAAAAATTTAGTTGAAAGCTTGATCCTGTCATATTTGCAGTATTCCTTGATTTTATTCTATTCTTATTTGGATTCGTCGGATCGGTATAGGCTATAGAAAATTCAAAACAGTTGCTGCAGGTTTGTATTTGGACACCGTAAATATAGTAATGTCACTCCGAATATGGTATTCAAGATTTAAATTGGTTGAAGACGAAATCACAGTTTGTTTCTAGTAGTTCGCAATAAAAAGCCATCGTATATTATATATATATATATATAACAACAGGTAGGAAAATAATGGGTAAAATCCGCAAAAAGGAGGAAAGTGGATTCGAGCAGAAAATAGGATAGGTAACCCGAGCGATACGTATTTCTGCTGATTGGCTTCATCAGGCTCGAAATGAATACACATATGTAACTACAAAAGTAGATACACATGCCCATACATCCGGATACGGGTGTAACCTGAGGAAACGAAGTTAGAGGGGAAAAAACGACACACGAAGTCCTGCTCGAATCCACTTTCCTCCTTTTTGCGGATTTTACCCATTATTTTCCTACCTGTTGTTATATACTTTTCTCCGCATAATCATATTCTCTTTATATATATATAATATATAAATATATAATCAGAGAAATTTCAGACATAACCTAAATTTAGCGATTCCACGCCACTACTCGGCACTTTTCCAAAAAAGCTGTATTATTTCTGCTGCCAGGTTATATACTATAATTCTACTGATCCAATTTATCGCAATACAATTATAGTACCTTTCAGGAGACTTGTTAAGAAATAGGACCAGTTCAAAGGCACTGTGGTGTGAAATGCTTAAACTGTGCATCTGTTAAATTACTGTTTTTTTCCTGTTTCTTATTACTCTACTTTGTTGGCTTGTTCTTCCCTATGTAAGTATTGTATATACTTCTGCTTCCTGTTTCTTTCCACTATATCGACTTACTTTTTTTCCTATTATCAATTTTTTGTTTGTATATATATCGAGTTAGCTTTGTTAGTTTCTCTCACACAGTGAGGTTAATTGTAAGAGCCTTTTGCCTTTTTTCTAAACTTCGCCTCACTGATGTGTATTAATACACATATAAGACATTCATTATTATTATTATTATGTTTACACTGCATCGTTTGTCGACAAAATTGCGTAGTTTTAGTGTATTCTTTTGACTTATGTGTCTACCAATGCCTTCCAAAGTGACAGCGTTATACCAACATAATATACTAAGTGACATATAAATCCGAACACCAAGTTTAAATGGTTTTATTTTAATAAAAGTTGGTGAATGTATTTATCTTACTGTAAATAACAAGTGAAAAAATTTTCAGCCTTATCAGTTGGACATTCCGGTTTTTATACTGCTTTTTTTTAATTCACTAACGCTCTAAAAATGAATATTTCAGCCGCAGTAAACAATTAACGTTGGCGGATTTTGGTTCTTGACAACCTTTACGATCGGTTATGATGCCTAGAGAACGGAGACCTGTACGATTTCGTCAACTTAGTGAGTTTGATAGGGGCCGTATAGTGGGAAGCTGGACTTTCTTTTCGAGCAATTGCAGTTAGAGTGCAAAGAAGTGTAGACACTGTGGTTAGGTGTTGTCAGGCATGGCTTCGAGAAGGCCGTACGCAAAGAGCAAGGGGCACTGGACGTCGCCGTAGAACAACAGACCGTGAAGATCGCCGCCTAAGATTATTGGCCTTAAGGGACCGTTTCTCCACTACCAGGTCCATTGCAAATGAATGGTTTGCAGAACACGGAAGACCTATTGGCATGCGAAGTGTTTACCGACGAATGAGAAGTTTTGGCTTGTTTTCATACCGGCCACACTGGGTCCTCCCTGTAACTCGAGAACACCGACGTAATCGCCTTGAGTGGTGCAGACAACGGTCATTCTGGGATCAGGAATGGAACAGTATTGTCTTTAGTGACGAGTCTCGATTTTGTTTAGGCATGCACGATGGTCGTGCCAGGTTTAGAAGGCGACGTGGTGAAAGGAGGAATCCACAGTTTTTTGTTGAAAGACATGTTCATCACACTGTTGGAGTTATGGTTTGGGGTGCTATAGCTTATGGTTCCAGGTCACCTTTAATCTTCATCAGAGGTAACATGAACGCGCAGCGTTATATCCACGAAGTTCTAGAACCCCATCTTTTACCCTATCTTGACACCCTGGCAGATCCAACTTTCCAACAAGATAATGCCCGACCACATGTTGCAAGAGTCACAATAGACTTCTTTCAACATAATGATGTCACATTGTTACCATGGCCACCAAGATCTCCCGACTTATCCCCAATTGAGCACGTGTGGGATATGATGGGTAGGAGATTGCTCAATTTGCAACGTCCTCCTCAGACTCTAGAAGCACTTCGAGAGGAGTTGGTGGTTGCCTGGAATGAGATACCACAGGAGGACATTGACCACCGAGCACATTTCTTCTGGGCACCATAAATTAAAATCATTTCCACTCTTTCGGCTAGTGTGTAAACCATTTTGTAAGTAAAATCTAAATCAATAAATTAATTTTCACTATCCCAGGATTATCTCGAAGGTAAGGTACTTTCTCGAAACGACTGAATTCAAAAAATCGAACGTCAAAATGAAAGACTTCGAAAGACCTTCCAAGCAAGCTATTACTCGATACCCCTTGTCATTTAAAATTTTTGAGGGAAGGATCCTAGGGAGCCGATGGTGAAAGAGGGTGAAATAGTTTTTGGTTAAAAAGTTGTCCCCCTTGACAAATCTTTTGACATGTCTCGGCGTTTTTTCTTTCAGTATTGTCAATGCATCATTCCTACCAGAAAATATTTCAGTTGTCAAAACGTAATGGATACTCGTGAAATAGGTTGTACAAGCTTCAGAAACAAGAACAAACTACTTCACATTTTCAAAATTCCGAATGAAATAAAGAGTATCAGGCAGCTGTGGGCAAATGAATACCCAAGACTGTCCAGTTTTATGGTTCATTTCTACCACAGACGGACCGAAACATAATGAAAAGATAACACCTAACTTTGGTATGCCCGCGGCTTGCGATATTATGCGGCGGTTATAAAAATATCCCACTCGGGATTGTAGCATTAGATAACTATGGACAGCACTTTTATCGCTTGTATTATTCTAATGTTTGGTGAAAGTATGGTGATCAGTACAACATATTTGCGTTATCATAGTCTCATTGCTGTACCCACCTGTAGAGATGATTAAGTATCTCCTACACATTGGAGGCTAAAAATAGATTCTTATTATATAGGCAAGCTCAAAATAGAATTACTGATATCGTTATGCATGTTCAGGTGTTTATGTTTTAACGTTTTTGAGTGACAGGTACATTTCTATGATCATAATATAACGGGGTTTATTACAGTATTGATTAGGAAGGAATAAGCAGTTGTAGTCAAGTAGGTGGACTTAACGATTTAAGTACTTTAAGTTAGACTTTGTCTTTCCAAAGAGCAATGGGTAGCTTTCAATAGATTTTAGCGTTTTCTTCTCTTGCGACAAGTGATGATGCTTGTATATTTACAAACAAAAACATCAGATAAGTCGTAAGGGCAAATATATGGCAAAATTTATGTCTGAGATATGTCTAATAGGTGCGTATAATAACCGAAATTAGAGGTTTCTGAGTATATTGACACCAAAAAAATAAAACATACCCTCTTCGACCCCCTGCAATTCTTCACCTGCCACTTCTTACCCTTTGAAAATGTCTAAGAATAAGCAAGATTCTATGAAACTAGCGATTTTTTTTTTAGTTTTTTGCCCATATCTGCACCCCCATTCGATCGATTTTCAAAAAATACGAAGCTGTTTTATCCTTGACATAGTGCTAACCTAGTATCAAAATTCCAGCATAATAAGGGCAAAACTTCTGTTGCGGTCAAGGAATAATGGACAGAGAAACTTACAGATAGACACGTAACGTCCAAAAAATTTAATAATAATCTTCGATTTTCTTCGCAATGACAATACTTCCTCGACAATTGGTATGGGGAGTAAAATGGAAATTGTAACATCTGGTACAGTGCATAGTCACTTTCAACAGTTTCAGTTTCATGTTTTTATTAGTTCGATGCCATATTTATGTTCTCAAACCATAGGATGGTCCTCAGTTATTTGTTATTGGATACAGCACAATATACTATTGAGTTTTTTCCGTTTAATTATACGCAATAGTAATGAAAAGTAATAGTCTGGTTGGTCAAACTACTGCTTCATTTGAATGTACCATAGTCGTACGTATCCTATCAGATCTTCGGTAAATGGCAGTTAAACCCATACAAATCACTCAATACATATAAACAAATAGTCAGCATCAGTTTGTTGTTACTTGTAATAAAAGTGTTATTTCTTCGTATATGGCCATATTATGACATTGACCTTGCTCCAATGCTCAAGTTCGGGTGTTCTTTGGGGATTTGAAAGATATTCCGGGATTTTTTAATAATTCTCCTCAACGCGTAGAGGTACTGAACAGAATTGTGGGAAAAAAATTCCCCAAGGAGCAACAACTCGTTGGAATTTTAATATTCGAACAATAAATGTAGTGTTTGAGAACATTGAATTCATGGAAGAAATAGAAGAACATTTCACTAATGAGGCAGCTTGCGGTATTCTACGTATGTTAAACGATTCTGTTTTGTGTTTTGGTTGACATTTTTTCATCATGTCATACCTCACGTCGACATCTTGTTCAACCAGTTGCAGAAGAGAAAAACCGAGCCAGCGCAAGTTAAAACGGCTATCGATAATTTTGAAAAATGTATCGTCGATATGAGAAATAAAATTGATGACATAATAAATGAAGCCAAAAGTGTTTCCACTGAACCCTAAGGCAACAAAAGGAGACGACGTAATAATAGCAGTCACGATCACCGAGTTGCCGCATTAGAAGTATGCGACAATATAGTGAATTCTGCAAATGACAGATTTCAATTCAAAGATTATTTGGTAGCCGCATCACTTTTTTTCCCCGAACACTTTGGAGAATACTGTGGTAAGTTTCCTGATGATAAGTTGGAAACTACCTGCTTGGCTTATCCCGAGTTAGAAAAAAGTCGTTTAAAGACAGAGTTGTCTGTTATTTATGCACGGAATGATTGCCGAGATTTACATGGAAATGTGTCTCTTTTGAAATTTTTGATACAAAATAGTTTGGAAGAAACACTAAAAGAAACAAAAAAGCTATTAGAAATTATTGTTACAACTCCTATGTCAACATCAGAGGCTGAACGAAATTTCTCAACATTGAAAAGAATCAAGACTTTTCTTCGAAATACTATGACCCAGGATCGCCTTACAGCGTTGTCGATGCTGTCCATTGAAAATGGATTTATACTAAGTGACATATAAATCCGAACACCCAGTTTAAATGGTTTTATTTTAATAAAAGTTGGTGAATGTATTTATCTTACTGTAAATAACAAGTGAAAAAATTTTCAGCCTTATCAGTTGGACATTTCGGTTTTTATACTGCTTTTTTTTAATTCACTAACGCTCCAAAAATGAATATTTCAGCCGCAGTAAAGAATCAACGTTGGCAGATTTTGGTTCTTGACATCCTTTACGATCGGTTACGATGCCTAGAGTACGGAGACCTGTACGATTTCGTCAACTTAGTGAGTTTGATAAGGGCCGTATAGTGGGACTTCGGGAAGCTGGACTTTCTTTTCGGGCAATTGCAGTTAGAGTGCAAAGAAGTGTAGACACTGTGGTTAGGTGTTGTCAGGCATGGCTTCGAGAAGGCCGTACGCAAAGAACAAGGGGCACTGGACGCCGCCGTAGAACAACAGACCATGAAGATCGCCGCCTAAGATTATTGGCCTTAAGGGACCGTTTCTCCACTACCAGGTCCATTGCAAATGAATGGTTAGCAGAACACGGAAGAC